TGAAACTCCAGTCATTCTCACTAGATCTGTCCGAGAGGAAGGATCTCCTGATTACCCTAACCAGGAGCCTTAAGGTACGTCCAACACACCGAAAAATATCCTTTCTAAAGTCACAAATTGCTTAAAACTGCATGTTACACAGAAAAACAGTGAGAGCGAGGGAGTCCAGCTGACTCCACGGCCCATAATCAGACAAAATACTTCCTTTATAACCACAACCATGCAACTTTTGTATTTCAAAGGATTTACTTGTCATCACACTAACGATAAATTCTTTTTCTATTGTTTCCACAGTCTCTTGAACTAAATAACCGTCTAGCAAAAACATGGACCGCACCGTTTCTCAAGCAGCTGCTCCCTCTATTAAAAACTGAGTCATTTCAGGAGAAGATCCAGCGAAAGCAACATTCACTTCTCATGCAAGAAGACACGCATCCACTCATTCACAAGGCACAGAGACATTCTTTGTTTGTCACAGTCTTTTTTTTTTTTTTAAAGTAAGTCAGTTCGTCACTTATTTATTCTCTCTCTCTCTCTATATATATATAATATTTTAAGCACAGAATTTATTTAACACTGCACTGGTTATTTTCAGAATTTAATGCTTACTATGCTTTTAAGCAGGCCTTATGTAACATTAGAGCAAATCCAATTGCAATTTTTTGAGAGCGCTCTGAGGAATAGTTTATATATTTATTTTCTGCAGATCTGTTTTGATTTTACTGTTCAGTAGCTACCTGGCTTTATGTATATGTATATCCATATATTTCTGAAATAAAGCTGTCATATACAACCTTACTTGCATTTCTTATTGGTTTTTTTTTTTTTTTTTTTCTCCAGGCCACTTAACCCCCAGATCGGGGTCCCTCACATGCTGCCCCGCACACAAATGATTATCACGCTTGTACACTACATATGTATATATATGTATACACATATACATACATACGCACATACATACACATGTTACTTTAAAAACCTTTTATTTATTAACTTATGGTGTTCTGTTCAAAGACTGATCAGAACAGGGTTGCAGAATTTTGAATTTTGCGTAGCTCCTAACATTAATTTTAGCACTGCAGTGTAATTTACATATACGAGTTGCAACTTTTTAAAGCTCTTATTTATCTTATTTATTTATTTTCTGGTACCGCATCAGGCCTTCACACACACCATCCAGCGCTGTACACACACACACACACACGGAGCTCCCAAAACTCTGCTCTGCATTCTGCACTCTCCTAGTGCTGCACTTTCAATCCAGAGCCGTAAGCAGCCTCTTGCTGCGCCTCACACACACAGGCTGAACTCAGCTTACACACACAGTGAAGCTTGTCTACAGCTGTGCCTTTTTCTCTTGATTCTGCAGCCTTCACTTCCCAAATCTTGCTCCAGTTACCTCTACTGTTAACATCTACCCCTTTTCCTTCATCGCCTTTTCTGCTGACTTTCTCAATAAAACCTTATTTCTCATGGCTTCAACTGGGCTGCTTGTCATATTTAAAACATTGCTTATTTTATGCAAAAACAGTTACCTTAGAACATTTTTCTCATCTCATACAAAAAGGTCCTTGACCTTTAAAATCTAGGGAGCTCTCTTTAGCCTCCCCTGCCCTTAACACAAAACCAGGTCCTCGACCTGTACTTTAGGGAGCTCTCTTTAGCCTCCCAGGGCCTCAACACAAAACCAGGTCCTCGACCTGTACTTTAGGGAGCTCTCTTTAGCCTCCCAGGGCCTCAACACAAAACCAGGTCCTCGACCTGTGGACTTTTAGGGTTCCCACACCTATGGACTCTCTCGCCAAGCTCTTATATAACCTCGTTATATATTCTATTCGCTCGTCAGCAAATAGTGTGGTCAGCCACGACCTGGAAATGGAACTTTAGGGCTCTTCTAATAACCCTGGGCCACCATCCCTTCTTCTGTACTATTTCCTTATCTCATTTACCATTAAACCATTAGAAAAATCCTCATTTCATTTCACCATTAAACCATTACAAAAAAAATCTCTTATTCTTTCTGCACTTGTCTCCACTTTCGTCTCCAACTATTATTTTAGGACCACAGCTACTATGATTCTGGACACAAAGGCTTTGGATAAATCCAATGAGCAGATTTTAGAAAATAAGGTTCTGCTCACCTTGTTTTCCACCGCGGTGTTCTGTGCCAAGATCGTTCGCTGGGTCAGTAGGTCGAATCGTCCTCCAAAAACTCCTTTTTCTTCAAAAAGAAAAAATCCTGTTCGTGACGCCAAATTTGTTGGTCTTTCTTCTGTTAGACCAAGCACGGGTACGGAGAAGATGGAGTTAAACACCTTTTGAGTTGGCAGAATGTGGAGACAAATGATCAGAAGTCCATTCACTGTTTCACCGCTCATGAGGGGGAGAGCCTCTGCAGCAAGTCCCGCGACCTGCTCTTGCCAGCTGCTTCGGACAGACTCTCGCCGTTCTGCTGAAAACGGCTGATTTTTATTGAAGATTACAGGAATGTTACATACGTAGTTTGCCATACACACACGTAATTCTGCCATCTGCACCTGCAGACGCACGTCAGCTAATAGCCTTGTTAATGAAAGACCAATTCATCCCAAGGACATGCAACTTTGAGATGATCAGGACACATCCTGCAACATCCTTTGCTAACAAAGACAGTTGTTCTTGTATTGAGGAAATGAAGGAAGGAACACTTTCACTCCCTTATGCAGCTGTTCAGCTTGAGCAGAAAAGGCACAGAGAGGTTTTCGATATTATAACAAGATTCCATGAAAAGGCATATAATAATGTATTTATGATAATATATAAGGAGCATAAGTGAGAGATACATATTTGTTCATATAAAAGAGCTTATAATAATATATGAAAGAGCTTATATGAGAGATATATATTTTCAAATATCTGAAGATTTCTACAGTAAATCTGTCTGAAATGTGGCACACAGGTACAGTGGGTGTTCCAGAGTAAGGATGTGGTGAAAGTTGTACATCAGCTATGACGGATGATTTTTTATGAATTTTTGAATATTAACCAGACTGTCACTAGTGTGGACTGAATACAAGTTTTCTGTAATATCTGAAGATTTCTACAGTAAATCTGTCTGAAATGTGGCACACAGGTACAGTGGGTGTTCCAGAGTAAGGATGTGGTGAAAGTTGTACATCAGCTATGACGGATGATTTTTTTATGAATTTTTGAATATTAACCAGACTGTCACGAGTGTGGACTGAATACAAGTTTTCTGTAATATCTGAAGATTTCTACAGTAAATCTGTCTGAAATGTGGCACACAGGTAGAGTGGGTGTTCCAGAGTAAGGATGTGGTGAAAGTTGTACATCAGCTCTGACGGATGATTTTTTATGAATTTTTGAATATTAACCAGACTGTCACGAGTGTGGACTGAATACAAGTTTTCTTTAAAATCTGAAGATTTCTACAGTAAATCTGTCTGAAATGTGGCACACAGGTACAGTGGGTGTTCCAGAGTAAGGAAGTGGTGAAAGTTGTACATCAGCTATGACGGATGATTTTTTATGAATTTTTGAATATTAACCAGACTGTCACGAGTGTGGACTGAATACAAGTTTTCTTTAAAATCTGAAGATTTCTACAGTAAATCTGTCTGAAATGTGACACACAGGTACAGTGGGTGTTCCAGAGTAAGGATGTGGTGAAAGTTGTACATCAGCTATGAAGGATGATTTTTTATGAATTTTTGAATATGCAACCAGACTGTCACTAGTGTGGACTGAATACAAGTTTTCTGTAATATCTGAAGATTTCTACAGTAAATCTGTCTGAAATGTGGCACACAGGTACAGTGGGTGTTCCAGAGTAAGGATGTGGTGAAAGTTGTACATCAGCTATGACGGATGATTTTTTATGAATTTTTGAATATTAACCAGACTGTCACGAGTGTGGACTGAATACAAGTTTTCTTTAAAATCTGAAGATTTCTACAGTAAATCTGTCTGAAATGTGGCACACAGGTACAGTGGGTGTTCCAGAGTAAGGATGTGGTGAAAGTTGTACATCAGCTATGACGGATGATTTTTTATGAATTTTTGAATATTAACCAGACTGTCACGAGTGTGGACTGAATACAAGTTTTCTTTAAAATCTGAAGATTTCTACAGTAAATCTGTGTGAAATGTGACACACAGGTACAGTGGGTGTTCCAGAGTAAGGATGTGGTGAAAGTTGTACATCAGCTATGACGGATGATTTTTTATGAATTTTTGAATATTAACCAGACTGTCACGAGTGTGGACTGAATACAAGTTTTCTTTAAAATCTGAAGATTTCTACAGTAAATCTGTCTGAAATGTGGCACACAGGTACAGTGGGTGTTCCAGAGTAAGGATGTGGTGAAAGTTGTACATCAGCTATGACGGATGATTTTTTATGAATTTTTGAATATTAACCAGACTGTCACGAGTGTGGACTGAATACAAGTTTTCTGTAATATCTGAAGATTTCTACAGTAAATCTGTCTGAAATGTGGCACACAGGTAGAGTGGGTGTTCCAGAGTAAGGATGTGGTGAAAGTTGTACATCAGCTATGAAGGATGATTTTTTATGAATTTTTGAATATTAACCAGTGTTGTGAGCTGGGAGGTGAGCACTCCACACACACCATGACATCACCTGGCTTGTGAGTTCTGTTTTCAGGAGAGAGAGCAGCAGCTGCAATCAATCAGCTGATCAGTGGGTGGCCTTCATAAGGAGGACGGAGGACACTGCTAAGCCGCCGGATGATTACGCCTACTGGTAGAGTCCCAGCAACAGTGTTAACTCGATTTTGAAACCTTGAACTTTAGAAACGTGTTTTTTGCTAGCGATCTTTTGCTCAGATTTTGTTCTCGTTTTGTCTCAGGCTCAGTCATCTTTCCATACACCACCTCCTCGCTGAGACCGTTTGGATTTACTACTCGACCATACTACGTCTGGACTTCATTCCCGGTTCCCGTCCTCCTCACGGCACTAACTGCTCCCAGCACTACAGGCTCTCTCTCTCCTTCCCTCCGGTTGTAAAACCTTGCCGATCTTCACCCCGGAATACTCATTCACTCTCCCAGCTCACCCCTCCCTGGAGATCCTCCACCACGCTACAGCTGTAAGTCCTCCTACCAAACTCATCCTCTACCACACAACAGTTTCAATCAAGGACTCACCTCTGTTTCCCTTCCCTCAGACGCTGCTCCCGTTTACCCATTCACTGGATTTCCAGTGCACCCTAAGTTCTAGTTACCAAATAAATCTTTATTTTTTCACATCCTGCTCCAGTGTGTTGATTCTGCATGTCTTGGGTTAAATCATTACCTCAGACCATGACAACCAGACTGTCACGAGTGTGGACTGAATACAAGTTTTCTTTAAAATCTGAAGATTTCTACAGTAAATCTGTCTGAAATGTGGCTCACAGGTACAGTGGGTGTTCCAGAGGAAGGATGTGGTGAAAGTTGTACATCAGCTATGAAGGATGATTTTTTTATGAATTTTTGAATATTAACCAGACTGTCACGAGTGTGGACTGAATACAAGTTTTCTTTAAAATCTGAAGATTTCTACAGTAAATCTGTCTGAAATGTGGCACACAGGTACAGTGGGTGTTCCAGAGTAAGGATGTGGTGAAAGTTGTACATCAGCTATGACGGATGATTTTTTATGAATTTTTGAATATTAACCAGACTGTCACGAGTGTGGACTGAATACAAGTTTTCTTTAAAATCTGAAGATTTCTACAGTAAATCTGTGTGAAATGTGACACACAGGTAGAGTGGGTGTTCCAGAGTAAGGATGTGGTGAAAGTTGTACATCAGCTATGACGGATGATTTTTTATGAATTTTTGAATATTAACCAGACTGTCATTAGTGTGGACTGAATACAAGTTTTCTGTAATATCTGAAGATTTCTACAGTAAATCTGTCTCAAATGTGGCACACAGGTACAGTGGGTGTTCCAGAGTAAGGATGTGGTGAAAGTTGTACATCAGCTATGACGGATGATTTTTTATGAATTTTTGAATATTAACCAGACTGTCACTAGTGTGGACTGAATACAAGTTTTCTGTAATATCTGAAGATTTCTACAGTAAATCTGTCTGAAATGTGGCACACAGGTACAGTGGGTGTTCCAGAGTAAGGATGTGGTGAAAGTTGTACATCAGCTATGAAGGATGATTTTTTATGAATTTTTGAATATTAACCAGACTGTCACGAGTGTGGACTGAATACAAGTTTTCTGTAATATCTGAAGATTTCTACAGTAAATCTGTCTGAAATGTGGCACACAGGTAGAGTGGGTGTTCCAGAGTAAGGATGTGGTGAAAGTTGTACATCAGCTATGACGGATGATTTTTTATGAATTTTTGAATATTAACCAGACTGTCACTAGTGTGGACTGAATACAAGTTTTCTGTAATATCTGAAGATTTCTACAGTAAATCTGTCTGAAATGTGGCACACAGGTACAGTGGGTGTTCCAGAGTAAGGGTGTGGTGAAAGTTGTACATCAGCTATGAAGGATGATTTTTTATGAATTTTTGAATATTAACCAGACTGTCACGAGTGTGGACTGAATACAAGTTTTCTTTAAAATCTGAAGATTTCTACAGTAAATCTGTGTGAAATGTGACACACAGGTACAGTGGGTGTTCCAGAGTAAGGATGTGGTGAAAGTTGTACATCAGCTATGACGGATGATTTTTTATGAATTTTTGAATATTAACCAGACTGTCACGAGTGTGGACTGAATACAAGTTTTCTTTAAAATCTGAAGATTTCTACAGTAAATCTGTCTGAAATGTGGCACACAGGTACAGTGGGTGTTCCAGAGTAAGGATGTGGTGAAAGTTGTACATCAGCTATGACGGATGATTTTTTATGAATTTTTGAATATTAACCAGACTGTCACGAGTGTGGACTGAATACAAGTTTTCTGTAATATCTGAAGATTTCTACAGTAAATCTGTCTGAAATGTGGCACACAGGTAGAGTGGGTGTTCCAGAGTAAGGATGTGGTGAAAGTTGTACATCAGCTATGAAGGATGATTTTTTATGAATTTTTGAATATTAACCAGACTGTCACGAGTGTGGACTGAATACAAGTTTTCTTTAAAATCTGAAGATTTCTACAGTAAATCTGTCTGAAATGTGGCACACAGGTACAGTGGGTGTCCCAGAATCATAATGTGGTGAAACTTGTACATCAGCTATGAAGGATGATTTTTTATGAATTTTTGAATATGCAACCAGACTGTCACGAGTGTGGACTGAATACAAGTTTTCTTTAAAATCTGAAGATTTCTACAGTAAATCTGTCTGAAATGTGGCACACAGGTACAGTGGGTGTTCCAGAGGAAGGATGCGGTGAAAGTTGTACATCAGCTATGAAGGATGATTTTTTATGAATTTTTGAATATGCAACCTGACTGTCACGAGTGTGGACTGAATACAAGTTTTCTTTAATATCTGAACATTTCTACAGTAAATCTGTGTGAAATGTGGCACACAGGTACAGTGGGTGTTCCAGAGGAAGGATGTGGTGAAAGTTGTACATCAGCTATGAAGGATGATTTTTTATGAATTTTTGATTATGCAACCAGACTGTCACGAGTGTGGACTGAACACAAGTTTGCTGTAATATCTTAAGATTTCTACAGTAAATCTGTCTGAAATGTGGCTCACAGGTACAGTGGGTGTTCCAGAGGAAGGATGTGGTGAAAGTTGTACATCAGCTATGAAGGATGATTTTTTATGAATTTTTGAATATGCAACCTGACTGTCACGAGTGTGGACTGAATACAAGTTTTCTTTAATATCTGAAGATTTCTACAGTAAATCTGTGTGAAATGTGGCACACAGGTACAGTGGGTGTTCCAGAGTAAGGATGTGGTGAAAGTTGTACATCAGCTATGAAGGATGATTTTTTATGAATTTTTGATTATGCAACATGACTGTCACAAGTGTGGACTGCATACAAGTTTGCTGTAATATCTGAGGATTGCTACAGTAAATCTGTCTGAAATGTGGCACACAGGTACAGTGGGTGTCCCAGAATCATAATGTGGTGAAACTTGTACATCAGCTATGAAGGATGATTTTTTATGAATTTTTGAATATGCAACCAGACTGTCACGAGTTGGGCAGTTCCCTGTTCAAAATGCCGTACCGCAAAGACCGTTGTAAACGCGCAATGAAATTTTCGCGGCGGATAAGATGCGGCTGGCTTGACCGCGGCTCACAATTGTCGGCTCACTTGACCGCGACTCACGACCCGCTAAAAACGGCTAAATGTGCGCGTGCGGCACGCTAAACACACGTGCAGCTTGCCCCTGATTGCTGTGAGACCGGGTTGGGGGGTGGGGAGTGCAGCTGTGGTTGGGACAATTATTACATTAACTGATGGACTTGTAAATAAATAGTTTATAAATAAGGTAGAAATAAGTTCCTCACGCTGATAAATAATAACTAATCTCTCTGAGGACACGGTGCTGGTGCACTCTCCTACAGCATCTTGACATGACTAAATAAATGCTATGCAACATTTAGTGAACAGCAATTTGCATGTATTTGTTATAAATGCCACTGTATAATTCTTGCTGTCAGTATTTGCAAGATATTGGTATTTGGGTCTGCACTGGTTAGACTTAAATGAGTTAAACCAAGGTCTATAGCCCTTGGGTCATAGACTATGAGCTATAAGTATATTGGTCTTTTTATACTGGGAATCAGGAGTTATTTTAGTGATCATCTTGTTTCTTGTTTATTTTTGCCCTGATTGTGCCCTGAGCAGTTTTATGACTGAATAAAAATAAAAATCTACATAAATTGAAAAATCGTCTTAAATAATCGAGATCTCAATTTCAGTCACAATAATCGTGATTATTGTTTTTGCCATAATCGAGCAGCCCTACTTTAGCATATCCGGTCACATAATGATGACGTCATATTCAGCGGTCGTTGTGCATCATTTCAGGCCTCGTGGTCAACTGTCTGGACCGCTGAACAGAAGTGCCTGGCTTATTTTCTAAGTAAAATAAATATGTGCAATACGTTGTCAACATCAGTGAGTCTCTAAGTCTATTCTTTTTGTATGTTATATATGTTAAAATATGTGTAAATAGGTCGCTGATTAACACTTGCAATTTAGTGTTGTGATGGTTTTAAAAAAATTCTGAAGGTAGTAAAAAAAGGTATTAAAAAGTAGTAAATTTTACTTAAGGATTGCTGTATATACCCTGGATAAGCTGTGAGGCCAAATGACTGATTCCAAGTTGGATAGCTGGCTAAAGTTCGTACAGCTGGAGAAGGCTAAATGACACACACCATCTTTTAGGTTTTGTGTGAAAATAAGTCCAGGACCACAAATGCGCTTCACGAAAGTGACGTCATCGAGCCAGACACGGAGAAAACTGAGGGAAAAGGGCTGTAAGTTCAGCAAACTTCCCACAGGAGGGAAGAGCCACCATAAATCTGGTCATTTGGTAACTAGCAGCTACGCTAGGGGGGAGGAGATTATGTGGTGATGTCACATAGTTTGTAGTCATGCTAATTATAAACTTTTACAAGCTAATAAATCTCAAAGTACGTGACTGGCATGGTCGAAACGCACATCATTACTTTTCATTGAAATTGCAGTACAGCACTTGTGATCCAGGGCGTAAGGCAAAGCAGATTAGAAAATAGCGTATTTTTAGCCCCGTTGACGTTGACTTGCATTCATTTTTTTCGTTCTTCCGGGGATCCATGATGCGGAAGTGACTTATGGACCATTCCCATCTGTACCGGGTCGGCCCGGGCCGGGTAGCCCCAGTCGGCCCCAGCCTGGCCCGGTTGATTCCACACATCCTTGTCTTAAGCCCATGTGGGCTGATTCTACCCACCAATCAGAGGATTGCTCTAGTGGAAGGTGTGAATTTGCTGTCAGCAGTGGGTGTGTTGGCCCTGGTCGGCCTGAAGCAGACCCCCTCGAGAAGAGGGCTGAGAATGAGCCTTGGTTGGCCCGGAAAAATACCAGGCCACCCAGATATGTAAACAACCTACGCTACCCGGCCCGGGCCGACCCGATACAGATGGGAATGGCCCATTAGGCTCCCTATTGAAATGTAACTCCCTCTGTTATGGTTCAGATACCTCATGTTAAACATGTTACGTGTCAGTTTGGACTCTTTATTGAATTTTCCTACAATAAATTCAGTCTAAAAAATTGCTAAAATCGTCTGAATGTATCGTATCGTCTCCCCTGCATCGTGATGCGTATCGTTTAGCCAGAATTTCACCATTACACATCCCTATTAATTCATTTCTCCTCCTCTGAAGCATTTATGGGCTTGTTTGTTCATCAGCTGACTGCTGTTATGCTAAGGAAGTGGACAGTATGACCCTTTTCTTTCCACTGGATGTGAAATTGGCACGAAACGACTGTGAAACGTGGCAATTAACCGCCGTGATAGTGGATGAGTTCCTTTCCACCGGCAGCGTTTTGGACACACCCCAGAAACAAGGGGACACTGTCATTATGCTTAAAGTCCATATTTTACACACCATGCTTTGAAAACAAGTCAAACTCTGCAGCTTAGAATGCACCAGACAGGAAGTCAAACACAAAAGCAATGTAAAGCATCCGGAAACATTCAAAATAAAAGTCTCATGCAGGTAAATGTACATCATTTGCTGTTAAAAACCCGGTAGCCGTGTGAACGGAACAGAAAATCAGACCTTTTTGAATGCACGCAGCTAGGGCTGGGTAATTAATCGAAAATGTATCGTTATCGAAATTTCTGACTTTTATCGGGATAATTTTCCCATGCCAATACATTTTGAAATAAAAATATTAAAAGATGTATGTATGTCTCTTTAAGAAGCTGTACCACCTTGAGTCAAGTAAAATAGTGATTTAACGTAATACATGTGACTGCGCCATCTATTGGAGAACTTTTGTTTCTGCGCATACCTGTAGTTATCGTCCATTTATCATTATCGAGGTGAAATCCTCACAATATGGTGATATTGATTTTAGACCGTATCGCCCAGCCCTACATGTAGCTGTCTTTCTCTTTGCTTATTGTTGTGTGTGTGGACTTCTGGAATCACACAAGGTGTTGCAATTCTCCTGTGATTTCGTAACCTCACGAGATCGGCCATGTGGAACACTTTTGCTCCCGTTCCGGGTGGGAATGATGTCGTGGACAAAACGCCGTTACTCTATGTTATTACCGCTTTCACGGCCGGCGGAAAGAAAGGGTTACTGTCAGAATCTGGTTAGGATCATCATCGAGATTATCGTGGATCGAAACCAAACTTCCTCCTAAAGATTTAGTGATTATAAAGGATGTCTTTCACTGACCATGTAGTTTTTTATTGATATTAAAGCGGATGATCTGTTTATTGCACAGCTGGCCCATGTCACCGCAATGAAAGGAAGTGATCACAAAGGTATGGACTCTTTGTTTTCTCCGTTCAGCCCTTCCTGCTTGGACTTTGCTTGGATGTTTTACGTGGCTCAGCTTCAAAATGTCTGTGACTGTTTGTAGTGCAGCCGTTCTACTCAGTGTTGCTTGTTGTTGAGCAAAAAGTTCCACGCAAACTCCGATGTAGTCGATGTTTGCCGTTTTCTTTTGTCGTGAAACTCGTGTGAGACTGAAATGTGGAACGGGGATGAAAACTCTTATTCGCTGCAGATCTTCTGGAAGATGAAGATGAAGTGGATGAACACCAGCCATTCCCCTCACTGCCACAGGTAAAAGATAACGTTGTTGTGACGATCTTTATTTAAAGGACTCTTTATTTTACGCTACAGGCAAACAATTATCTGTTTGTGTCTAAAGATTTTCCAAGCTGTTCCTGAACACGTCGGCTTCAATATCGAACTGAAGTGGATCAGTCAGATGAAGGTGAAGATTCTGAAGCAGAATCGTTTTAAATTCTACTTAAAGCTAACATTTATAATGCCTTTTAATTGCAGGATGGATCGTGGGACGGAAACTTGTCCACCTACTTTGACATGAACTCCTTCCTGGACATCATCCTTGGCTGCGTTCTACAGAAAGGCGGAAAAAGACGGATTATCTTCTCATGTTTCGACCCAGATATCTGCACCATGTAAGTGCTGTTGCAGGCAAAGCGCGATCGATGATGTTTTAGTCGACTGAAACCGTAAACGTGTCCACGGTCATGACTGTGAAACAGAAATGAAATGGTAGTTATAGACTGTTGTTAGAAAGTGTCTCTTTTTCTTACAGCCGCTTGATAAAAGTCGTTTGTCCTTCAGGGTTCGTCACAAGCAGAACAAGTACCCCATCCTTTTCCTGACTCAGGGGATTTCAGTCAGGTATCCGGAGCTGATGGACATTCGCTGCCAGTCCACTCAGATCGCCATCAGCTTCGCTCAGAGCGAAAACATTCTGGTGAGTTATTTCCTATGCAGACATTCTAACCCTAACACATTAATCACAAGGTTAAATCATGTTTTTATCAGCTGAGACGTCTTTCCAAACTAAAACCCATTCTGAATCGGCGCCACCTCGAGACAACCATTCACGCCTTCATCACCTCAAGGTTGGATTACTCCAACTCAATTCTGTTTGGCATTTCAAAAGCCGCATCATCTCGCCTTCAGCTGATACAGAATGCGACAGCAAGATTTCTGACCAATACTGGCCGTCGGCAGCACATCACTCCAATGTTAGCAAGACTTCACTGGCTTCCTGTGCACTACCGTATACGTTTAAAAATTTGATTGTTTTTAAGGCGCCGAATGGCTTAGCACCACCTTACAGATCCGAGTTACTCACTCCTTATGTGCCGGGCAGGACTCTCCGTTCAGGTGACCTACACCTACTACAGATTCCCCGTCTACGCTGCAAAACCCGTGGTGAACGAGCTTTTTCTGTCTGCGCTCTGAAACTCTGGAATGATCTCCCGTTGAATATCAGACTCCCCCTCCATTGGGGTTTTAAGTCTCATTCAAAGACTTACTTTTACTCCCTTGCTTTTACTGCCTAGCCATTTTATCGATGGTTTATTTACACTGTTCTTTTACCGATTTTATTGATTTCTCTTGTTTGGTTCTTTGTGCTATCAGGGTATCCGCGGGTCCTTAAAAAGTCTTAAATTTGCTTTTCCAAATTTAAGGCCTTAAAAATCCTTAAAAATGACAAATAATCCTTAAATACAGTTTCCAAAGGTCTTAAATTACCAAAGACCCAATAAACAAAATCATTTTGTTTCTATAAAATTTTGTGAATTTCTAGTTAGTATTCAGCATTTTTTGTATGATATTGTCATAAGCAGAACCGTACACATTCAGTTGGTTGTGAAAGGGGGCTATTTTTAGATGAGCACATTAGCTGGTTAAGCTAGTGGGAGCTTGCGCCATGGGGAAGTGCAAGTTTAATGGTAACTGGATGGCTAATCCCACTTTTGCGCGGTTCCAGGCAATAGCTAGAAATTATAGCTTAAATTTAATTTCAAAAGTAGCTTAAATTTGGTCAAAGTGGCCTTAAAAAGGTCTTAAAAAGTCTTAAATTTGGCTCCCTTAAACCTGCAGATACCCTGTGCTATGCTCTAGCTGTTTTATTCGTTTAACCTTACATGTTTTTACCCCCTGTACAGCACTTTGGTCAGCTCACATGCTGTTTTTAAATGTGCTCTATCAAGTAAATGGAATGGAACCCAACGACTTAAAAATGGTTCGAATGTTCTTATTTATTTATTTGCTCATCAAGGGAATCAGCGCCCACACAGAGGAGCTGCTGAAGCACCTGGATTACATCAGGGAAGCTCAGTCTAAAGGCCTGGTGGTGTTCAGCTGGGGGGACGACAACAACGACCACGACACCCGGAGGAGCCTGCGGGCCCGGGGAATCGACGGGCTCATTTACGACAGGTCGGTTAAACTTCAGTAACGTTGATCCACGTGTGAGAAGCTTTAAACGCACACACACACGTGCGCGCACACACACCCTTCCAGTAGGAACTTGCTGTTACTTATTAGTCTAGACAGCTTGAGCTAACAGGTTGTTTAGTTGTCTTACACAACATTCCCCACGTGTTTGTCTGTTGTTTTTATGATGACATGATTTCAGGTTCAGTCCAGTTGTTTTTGACACTAGCTGTGAGTTCAACACTGTTTACTCACGCAGGACATTAACATTCAGATAATAAAAGATTATTTAGGAAGATAAGTGTTTGTGTCTATGGGTCAGGACCTTTCTACTAACTTTATTGCATTTAATGAAACATCTGCTCTGAACCGTGGATTTGGTGTTACTACAGCCTCCTGTGCACGTCGCTCTACTCCAGCATGGGACATTATATCGTCTCTACGTTGCATTTTATTTGCACACGTCTCACAATCTGAACTTTAATCACTGAAAAAGTTTTAATAGGAAATCCTTTACCTCTAGTTCACTCAGTGAGAATAATTTGGTGCATAATGGGATTTTGAGTCGTGCAGTAGCTTTATGTTTGTAAAACCTTCATATAGTTATTGTTTATCCAATAGGAGCTCATGTTTACTAGCTTTTCTACTGAAGCTGGGGTTGTAACGGTTCACGAGGGGAGTGTTGAAGCGTTTCGGTTCGATCCGTTTGGTTCTGTCCACTTGCGTACATAATACATTTTTATTAGCGTGATTTAAAGAGCAAGTCACCCCTACCAGAGTCTAACTCCACTCCCACTTCATGTTTGAAAAATGCAACAAATGCTGTTGCCTGGCAGACCGAGAGGGCGGAGCCGCTAACAAATACACACACACACAGGCTCACGGCGGCATTGTGACATCATAATGTACCAGTTTACATCATAGCATACTTCTTAGCCAATAGCGGTGGCAGATTTTAATTCAAATATAGTGCAGTTTTTACCTGGCGACGGCACAACACTGCCAGTTTTAGGCAGACTATTTACATTTTTACTAAGATGCACTGAAGTGCCAAATTATTGACGACACGTGTCTGCAGCACGGTCAGACACTCGTTTATTTAGTTTATCAGCAAAAAAAGTTTATTTGGGGGTGACTTGCTCTTTAAGTGCAGCGGATGAAAGTTCCTAGGCGAGTTTCTGCACGGACGCTGCATTAAGTGACTCATGATGGCTGCACGTGCCTGATCTCCGTTTAAAAAAAATGTGATCTGCAAATTCTGATCAACGAGCGGATCAAACCAGCTGGCTGTCGCTGCTACTGGAGCCTGTAGAGACGCTGAACGGAGCCCTTCTCTCACGCTGTTTAGACACGCAGCGGCAAAAATGTAAACAAACATCTCTGCTGAACTTTCCCCCTGGGACAACTGGTGTAACGTTTTCATCCTACAACAAAAAATACGGCACGGAGGAAGCTCGTTATGTAACAGGAGTTATAAAGAAGAAACTCTGGGCGGTGTGAGGTGAGTTTTTAAGGTTCGCTGCAGAAATAAAAACACGGAGCATCAACAGTCAAACGCAACGCTGGTCTGTTTGAGCGTGACACTCGTAGCTGCATTAATAACTTGTGAAACAATTTAAAGACATCATGCTAGATCTGCAGCCTGTGATGACACCTGGTTCTGCTCGCTATAGGAGCCTCTTCAGATATTAAATAAATAAATATAATAATATACCGAAAATTTATCGAACCGAGTAGGGCTGCAGCTATCGAATATTTTTGTAATCGAGTACTCTAATAAATGACCCTTTTGTGTTTGTAAACCATTATATCAAACAGAAAGACCTCTTAAAATGAGCTCACAATTGCCAGTTATTATTCAAGTTTTATTCAAAATTAGTTTTCAAATCTTCAGCACTTCAACTTTACTTCAGTAAACAAATGCCTGTGCAAAAAATAAGTATACGACCTGAGCCGATTTTCCCCTCGTGTGAGAATCTACTAGCCGGCAAGCCAGACGAACACTAGGAGGATAACTGTTGAAGTAGCGCTGCGAGCGGCTGCGGCCCAAACGGCACCAGAACCGCTCAAGGCGCATGCGCAAACATGGCTCGCCAGCTATTTCCCTATTAAAACTAGGGATGCACCGATGGATCGGCATTTGATCCCAATCGGCCGATAGCGCCCCTGTCGGTTTTGAGTTTTCAAAATGGATCAAAGCAGACCGATCAGCCCATTTTAGATTAGGTTACATTTCCTTTATTCCCAGATTATGTAGTTTGTAGCACTCATTATAATGTTGTAGAAAATTTCTGGCCAATCCACGTGATCGGTATCGGTGATCGGCAGCAAAAAACCTGATCGGTGCATCCCTAATTAAAACACGTCCATTTTAATTTCTACACTTTTTTTCTCACACTAACAAGGATTGTCGAGAAAGCATGTTTGCCATGTTTATGTCAAATTATACTGATCACAGAACATTTATTTACTTTCTTTTGTTTTCCTCCGCCGCTCTCATCAATACCCGCGTCCTCCTGCAGCAATCGTGAGGGACAACAGACATCAATAACAACACAATAAAAAGTCTGACGTGTTGTGTAAAAACTGCTATTTTTAGCACATTTTTAGGTTCGACGTGTTGCTAGCAGACACACAGTGTGAGCTGAAACTGAGCGCTACAAACGAAAAAGTCGCACAGTGTCCGCAGAATATATAGCGGACCTCCGAGTCCGCTTGCAGAAGTGACATTTATGGGCCATTCCCATCTGTACCGGGTCGGCCCGGGCCGGGTAGCCCCAGTCGGCCCCAGCCTGGCCCGGTTGATTCCACACATCCTTGTCTTAAGCCCATGTGGGCTGATTCTACCCACCAATCAGAGGCTTGCTCTAATGGAAGGTGTGAATTTGCTGTCAGCAGTGGGTGTGTTGGCCCTGGTTGGCCTGAAGCAGACCCCCTCGAGAAGAGGGCTGAGAATGAGCCTTGGTTGGCCCGGAAAAATACCAGGCCACCCAGATATGTAAACAACCTACGCTACCCGGCCCGGGCCGACCCGGTACAGATGGGAATGGCCCATTACATGTGGATGTTTCCTGGTCAGGTGCTGCAGCATGGAGGATGTGGTGATGTGGTAGGCTAAATCCATTTTACAGTATTTACACTGGACTACGTTGTCCGCCTTACGACGTGAAAAATGGTCCCACACCTTTGACATTTTCCATCTTTTTCGCACTCCACTGGGGTCCACATTGCCCGCCATGGCTTAAGAGAAAGTTAAGTTGCGTTCGCTACTCGCGTGTGCATTCAGTGCAGTGCGTATGTGCGTCACTTATTTCGGTCCGGGTGAAACATGACCCCGGGCGATTGCTAAGCCATGAATTAATTAAACATGAATTAAACGAAGCCTCGAGGCAGAGAATTTGACTCGAAGCTTTTTTGTACTCGAATTATTCGAGGTACTCGATTCGTTTCAGACCTAGAACCGAGCTCTTGGTGTACCGTTACACCCCTAGCTGATGCCCTTTAAAGTAAACAGGAAACACTTGGACCTGTGGGACTTTTTGTTCTGTAGTGGAGGATGAATCCATTAGCCAAGCAGCTGGTGTCCAAGTCTCATGATAAAGTATAAAACCTGGTTGTTTATCAGCTTGTTGGTGTTGTGTAATCTGGCTCCAGCAGCATGGGGATCAACGGGCACCATGTAGATTAAAAGCCCTGATTGTTTATTGGCTAGTCTACGTGAAACAAATGTGCAGTTATGTAAATCCTGTTCTGATTAGGGTTTAGTAGAATTCTCTGGGCTTGGTAAATACCGCTCGGTCAGCAGGAGCCGCTTGTCCGGCTGTTTCACTTCTGTATGTCTCCACATGCTGACGGCTGCACTTTGACCCAACTTCTGCAGAAGGTAGAGCAAAGTTCATGAAGCCACTTCCACCTTGTTGTTGTTATAACTGTGCCTCTTTCTTACAGAATTTGTGAAAGCGTGCTCCCGTATTTTGACTCGAGTTCTTCAGACTCCTGTAATTTCTCTCTGGTTCCAGTGTTTGTCAACATTTTACACCCCCAGCTTTTCTGTTTGGCCCCCTACGCTGATACTGATCAATGCTGCAGGAACACAGTCATGTTCCTAGACAATGATACATGAGGCGACTGACTTATCATACTTACAGCTGCGTTTGTAAAACCGCTTGTCTGATGAAGTCGACGCCCACGGTGATCATTTGTCTTCATTTAAGAGCGAGGCCACTTCTCGTTTTTGTTACGTTTCTGCACTGGTTTGCTTTAAATTCCTTCTCATGTTTTTAATGCTTGCTGCTGCGATGATTTAAAAATCCAACTTGAAGCAAAAGTAGAACAAAGAGCGAATGGCTTTCCAGATGCATGACACTTGATTATGTTTGAGAAATGTCCAGCTGCTGCTTTTAGTCAGATGTTTGCTGGTGTCAAACCTACTGGCTCTGATCAGAGGTCGTCCTGCATTTTCAATCAAAGCTTTGCACCTTCCCTTTGCAAGACAGCACAGCTTATTTGTCACGGTAAAGTCTTAAATGTACACGTCTTTAAGCGGCTTTGGATGATGAGCCGGGTGATGGCACTGGATCCTCTTCTGATCACACTTTTCTGAATCTGAATCTTTTCCACTCAAAAATGAGACGTCAGTTTTTTCTTCAACGGTCGGTCTGTGTTGGCTAACTGTCCTTAGATGGGTCACATGAGCAGTGTTTATTTTCTGTGACAGATGCTAGAGCGTTTTCACTCACGACCGAACGTGCCCTTGTTGCTGATTGTAAAAACAGACCAGCCCAGCTGATTTACATGGTTTAAACTTGCCCGTTCAGTTCTGATGTAAAAGGCCTCTCAGGTTTCCAAGGGTGATTCTTTTCATGCAGGCAGAGAAGCAACCAGTGCAATCATTCCTCAACACGTTTAAACCTGGTTTAGCATGAGCCGTGGTTTACATTACTGTCTTTAAAATAGGTGGAAACTTAGTTTAATCTTATCTTGAATATATTTAAAATAAAACTAAACTGAATCTAAAGGTCAGAATTGTTGTTTGTATTAAATATTTAATATTTGGGCTTGGGGTGGGCGATACGGCCTAAAATCTATATTGCCATATAATTTGAAAAAAGTGCGGTAACGGTATATATTGCGATATATGACTTTCTTTTGTATATCTGTCAAAAACGACTGTTTCTAAACATACTCACGTACCAGATACATTGTAGCAGCAGAATAAACACACTTCAAACAGTATAAAATGCCATTTTAAGAAAATGTATTAATTTTCTGGCTCGCAGACTTTCTCATACAGTTTTGGCATCTCTGTTTGGCTGAAGTGTTTGCGGCTCGGTACCTTGTAACGTGGATCGAGTGTCTTAATCATGTCTCGAAAGCCGCTTTTCTCCACTGTAAGAAACGGCACCATGTCCTTACACAGGTACGTGGTAAAGGCATTTGTAATATCAATCCACCGTTGATTATTTCTCTCATACTGAGTGCCTTTAGCAAATGCTTGTAAAATATCCGTCTGCTGGTGTGTAAGACCACCTTTTTTCTTACCGCTCGACTGACTGGCCGTTTGTTGAGGATGCAGGTTTTGGCTTTCTTCGTATTCCGCAACGTGCTTCGTTTTGAGGTGGTAAAACAAATTAGATGTATTCCCTCTATTCGCTAATACTTTCTTCCGACATACTTTGCAGATGATATTGTTCTGTTCCACATCCGACTCCTTAAAGCCAAACCAAGTCCAAATGACCAATGTTGCACCGGTCTTTTTTACGAGAACCTCCTCCACCACAGACTCCATGCTTTCAGCCTCAACAGACGCCGCTTGATGATGTCATCAGCATGCGCTACCGCGATAGGCCGATAGTCAAAATCTCTACCGTTGGCCAAATTAGTATCATTTCTACCGTATACCGTTTATACCGCCCACCCCTAATTTGGGCCGATTGTCCTATGATTATAATCCAGCTTGTCTATGTATCACCATATAGTCACACGAATAAAACCTACAGACTTACAGTAACAACAAATATTCACAAACATATACTTTCATTAACATAAAATACTGTTTCTTCCATGAAGCCGGTGCTCTGAAAGACCAAGTTCACTAGAGACAATGTCTTACTGGTTATTTTAAAATATGTCAGTCACTCTGAGTTTAACATGCAGGCTGAACATGAAAAAAGTCTTCTACCCCTATTTCCTGCATTAGCCGCTGATGGAAAATAAACAGGGACACGCTCGGGTCAGAAAAAGCCACACAGCTTCACGTCACTCTGACAACTAACATTCATGTACTCACCCGTCTACTCACGACGGGGAAGGCTGTTGTTGGTTTAATGTCCATGAAACGGCAGATAACGTCTCGGCTCGTACAAGCTAACCGTTAGCATTAGCAGCTCCACAGAACTCCTTCAGGCTTGAGTTATTGGCGGAGATCAAACATCAATGTTGCAGAGCAAACAGTCCGTGGTAGAGTTGCTTTGCTGTTAGCCAATCAGAGGCAACATGTCCAAATATCAGGAATAATGACTCCAAATTCTGCAGTTTTCTGCTCCCCACTTCTCCAGCTAACTTCTACTTCCTGTAACAGGAGCGCCAGAGCTTTTTCTCCATCAGAGGTTGACTCACAAGGCATTCTTTTATACTAGACCAAAGCAGATTTAATGAGAACACGAGTGAACTTGGTCTTTAAAACAATCCCAGTCATCTACATTCCTGACTGCACGTGCTGACATCATCCTTGTGATTAGATTAGCAGCTCTAGTTTCCACTGACGTTCGCAACTTTTTTTGCAAGATTTAAATACGAAGCCTCAGATTTTACTGACACAATAAAGATGTTTGCTTTGCATTATGTTACCTTTGTCTGACTGATCCTGAATCAGACTTTTCTCTTCTTCTCTAGCATTTGTGAGGCCCAAGCAGAGCAGCCAAACATCTTCCAGGTAGAGGAGCAGCACAGCCTGCAGGAAGTCATCACAGAGGAGACCTTGAAGAGCTCCTCCTGCTCCTGCTACTCCATCCCCTGCTCATTGGTACCCTGCGCCGCCTCGCAGGCTCACGTTGGAAGTGCCGAATCCGATTCTGGCCTTAGCTCTTCATAAAATAATCCCTCAGCTTCTACCTTCATGAACAGTTTATTAAACACACACACACACGCACACGGACCTAGGTAGGATTTAGAAGATTAAGTGGAAGCTTCTGCGCACTCAGATAAATGCCAAAAAAAGATTTCTGTCTATATTTTTTTAAGTTGACCAGGATGATCAGGTGTTCCTTTTGGCATCAGACGTAAAACCGCGTAGACCATCTCCTCTCTCTTTCATGTGGATTTTATTAAACCCTCAGAGGTTTTTTATTTATGCTTTTTATTTATAGTTGGATTTTTATGAATTTATGGAGAAAGAAGCCATGCCAAACTTCATTTCTCACACACCAGGACGGAGGTCTTTACATGCTGGTGAATTGGGATATTGCACATTAGAGCGCAGGTTGATGTTGCGTCGAAGTGAAACTTGATATTTTATGGGTGATGACTGAACTATGGTGGTGCGGGATTACATTCTCTGCTATGTAGCTGTGTGTTTGTGTTACCTGATGTTCTCAAGTACCAATCTGATGCTGTTTCCTGAGGAATTCTGGGTAAGAATTGCTTTCTACAAACGGCGTGTGCAACTAGACGACGGTGCAGGTTTTACTTCCTGCTGGACCAACTTAACGCACTTCGAAACCACATCAATGATTAGGTCCTCCTAATGAGGAGGTTTAGTTGACTGCACTTGCATCGACTTTTCTTGCCTTTGAGACTGTTTATTGATTAGCATATTATTATTATTAGCTATTATGTCTTACACAATTCAAACTGTACTGTATAATGTAGCTTACATGTACCCAATTAGAGGAAAATAATGGTTTATTTGCACTCAGACCACAGCCTTAAAGGGTCAATTTAATTATTTTGGTTTGTTTCTGCTTAAGGCCTTTGTGTTCATCAGTAAAAAATAAGACTCAGTCTTTAAACCAGTTTAATTCTACAACACCACACAGACTGGTGCCACATGAATTCAGCAGTGATGTCTGAATCTGACTTTGCTGTGAGTTTTCTGTATATATGTGTACATACTAACACAAGTTGTTAATAAAACCAACTCATTAGCTTTTTTGTCTTTTTTTATTACGAGTATACCCTTGTTTGATCAAGCTTTACACTAAATTACCATTTTTTAAAACTCTGACAAATACTTTCAGGTAGAAATTATTTATTTTATCTGCTCTGTAACTTGATCACATCTACCAGTTTTATTAAAACCTTATCAGTTATGTCAAAAACATCTCATATATTAACTTCAATGTACAGTTGCTATAAACACCTATCCAAATGTACTGTTATTAGCTTATTTACACAGCTTCTAACAGACATGAATACAAAGATGTCTCATTGGGCACTGGAGAGCGTAACAGCGTCACCGCCATATTGGATGGGTCTTCTCACTCCAAAGTCAATGCAACTGTACTCGTTTCTGTGCAGCCTACCGGCATTTAGTTTAAAACATAACGTGGAATTACTAGCGACTTCTAGCCTACCTCATAGGATTTTTAATTTAAATGTATTTTTTTTGTTTAATAATATATATCAGGGTGTCCGCGGGGTTTTAAAAAGTATTAAAAAGTGATAAATAAAAATAGTCAAATTTAAGGCCATTAAAAGTGTTAAATTTGGTCTCAGAGGTATTATTTTTTCCAAATTAGGTATTATTTTTTTCAGACTATCAGATGTCGTATTCTGAACATCGACATAGAATTATATTCCGAATGAAATGTTTTGAACGATTATAAAAACAAAACAAGCCGATTATTTGCTCCTCCCACTTGCGCTGCCTTGAGTTGCAAATGAAGCGCTCCTCCTCCGTGTTGCCAAGTTAACTTGGCGACTTTGACGCTATTTCTAACAGCTTCTCAGACCCCCTTCTTGACTTTTTAAATCTTAAAAGTACCTAACGAACACCTCAGAAACATCTCTGGTAACCCTTAGCTACTTTCTGGATAACTGTCGTAGACATTTCCTGCAGGTTAGCTAAACTCCGCCTGCACTCCGGACCGTTCTTCAGGACATTAGGAAAGGGAATGATGTAGTGATGTGTCAGTCGCTACAGAAACAGCTCTCGGAGCTGGCTCCCTGTTGGATTAACCAGAGTGAGTGACACACACACCGCACCTGCGGACTCCTGAACCGCGGTCAAGTGAGCCGACAATTGTGAGCCGCGGTCAAGCCAGCCGCATCTTATCCGCCGCGAAAATTTCATTGCTTGTTTACAACGGTCTTTGCGGTACGGCATTTTGAACAGGGAACTGCCCAACTCGTGACAGTCTGGTTGCATATTCAAAAATTCATAAAAAATCATCCTTCATAGCTGATGTACAAGTTTCACCACATTATGATTCTGGGACACCCACTGTACCTGTGTGCCACATTTCAGACAGATTTACTGTAGAAATCCTCAGATATTACAGCAAACTTGTATGCAGTCCACACTTGTGACAGTCATGTTGCATAATCAAAAATTCATAAAAAATCATCCTTCATAGCTGATGTACAACTTTCACCACATCCTTACTCTGGAACACCCACTGTACCTGTGTGCCACATTTCAGACAGATTTACTGTAGAAATCTTCAGATTTTAAAGAAAACTTGTATTCAGTCCACACTCGTGACAGTCTGGTTGCATATTCAAAAATTCATAAAAAATCATCCTTCATAGCTGATGTACAAGTTTCACCACATTATGATTCTGGGACACCCACTGTACCTGTGTGCCACATTTCAGACAGATTTACTGTAGAAATCCTCAGATATTACAGCAAACTTGTATGCAGTCCACACTTGTGACAGTCATGTTGCATAATCAAAAATTCATAAAAAATCATCCTTCATAGCTGATGTACAACTTTCACCACATCCTTCCTCTGGAACACCCACTGTACCTGTGAGCCACATTTCACACAGATTTACTGTAGAAATCTTAAGATATTACAGCAAACTTGTGTTCAGTCCACACTCGTGACAGTCTGGTTGCATAATCAAAAATTCATAAAAAATCATCCTTCATAGCTGATGTACAACTTTCACCACATCCTTCCTCTGGAACACCCACTGTACCTGTGTGCCACATTTCACACAGATTTACTGTAGAAATGTTCAGATATTAAAGAAAACTTGTATTCAGTCCACACTAGTGACAGTCTGGTTAATATTCAAAAATTCATAAAAAATCATCCTTCATAGCTGCTGTACAACTTTCACCGCATCCTTCCTCTGGAACACCCACTGTACCTGTGTGCCACATTTCAGACAGATTTACTGTAGAAATCTTCAGATTTTAAAGAAAACTTGTATTCAGTCCACACTCGTGACAGTCTGGTTAATATTCAAAAATTCATAAAAAATCATCCGTCATAGCTGATGTACAACTTTCACCACATCCTTACTCTGGAACACCCACTGTACCTGTGTGCCACATTTCAGACAGATTTACTGTAGAAATCTTCAGATTTTAAAGAAAACTTGTATTCAGTCCACACTCGTGACAGTCTGGTTAATATTCAACAATTCCTAAAAAATCATCCTTCATAGCTGATGTACAACTTTCACCACATCCTTACTCTGGAACACCCACTCTACCTGTGTGCCACATTTCAGACAGATTTACTGTAGAAATCTTCAGATATTACAGAAAACTTGTATTCAGTCCACACTAGTGACAGTCTGGTTAATATTCAAAAATTCATAAAAAATCATCCTTCATAGCTGATGTACAACTTTCACCACATCCTTACTCTGGAACACCAACTGTACCTGTGTGTCACATTTCACACAGATTTACTGTAGAAATCTTCAGATTTTAAAGAAAACTTGTATTCAGTCCACACTCGTGACAGTCTGGTTAATATTCAAAAATTCATAAAAAATCATCCGTCATAGCTGATGTACAACTTTCACCACATCCTTACTCTGGAACACCCACTGTACCTGTGTGCCACATTTCAGACAGATTTACTGTAGAAATCTTCAGATATTACAGAAAACTTGTATTCAGTCCACACTAGTGACAGTCTGGTTAATATTCAAAAATTCATAAAAAATCATCCGTCATAGCTGATGTACAACTTTCACCACATCCTTACTCTGGAACACCCACTGTACCTGTGTGTCACATTTCAGACAGATTTACTGTAGAAATCTTCAGATATTACAGAAAACTTGTATTCAGTCCACACTCGTGACAGTCTGGTTAATATTCAAAAATTCATAAAAAATCATCCTTCATAGCTGATGTACAACTTTCACCACATCCTTACTCTGGAACACCAACTGTACCTGTGTGTCACATTTCACACAGATTTACTGTAGAAATCTTCAGATTTTAAAGAAAACTTGTATTCAGTCCACACTCGTGACAGTCTGGTTAATATTCAAAAATTCATAAAAAATCATCCGTCATAGCTGATGTACAACTTTCACCACATCCTTACTCTGGAACACCCACTGTACCTGTGTGCCACATTTCAGACAGATTTACTGTAGAAATCTTCAGATATTACAGAAAACTTGTATTCAGTCCACACTAGTGACAGTCTGGTTAATATTCAAAAATTCATAAAAAATCATCCGTCATAGCTGATGTACAACTTTCACCACATCCTTACTCTGGAACACCCACTGTACCTGTGTGTCACATTTCAGACAGATTTACTGTAGAATTCTTCAGATATTACAGAAAACTTGTATTCAGTCCACACTCGTGACAGTCTGGTTAATATTCAAAAATTCATAAAAAATCATCCGTCATAGCTGATGTACAACTTTCACCACATCCTTACTCTGGAACACCCACTGTACCTGTGTGCCACATTTCAGACAGATTTACTGTAGAAATCTTCAGATTTTAAAGAAAACTTGTATTCAGTCCACACTCGTGACAGTCTGGTTAATATTCAAAAATTCATAAAAAATCATCCTTCATAGCTGATGTACAACTTTCACCACATCCTTACTCTGGAACACCCACTGTACCTGTGTGCCACATTTCAGACAGATTTACTGTAGAAATCTTCAGATATTACAGAAAACTTGTATTCAGTCCACACTAGTGACAGTCTGGTTAATATTCAAAAATTCATAAAAAATCATCCGTCATAGCTGATGTACAACTTTCACCACATCCTTACTCTGGAACACCCACTGTACCTGTGTGCCACATTTCAGACAGATTTACTGTAGAAATCTTCAGATTTTAAAGAAAACTTGTATTCAGTCCACACTCGTGACAGTCTGGTTAATATTCAAAAATTCATAAAAAATCATCCTTGATAGCTGATGTACAACTTTCACCACATCCTTACTCTGGAACACCAACTGTACCTGTGTGTCACATTTCACACAGATTTACTGTAGAAATCTTCAGATTTTAAAGAAAACTTGTATTCAGTCCACACTCGTGACAGTCTAATATTCAAAAATTCATAAAAAATCATCCGTCATAGCTGATGTACAACTTTCACCACATCCTTACTCTGGAACACCCACTGTACCTGTGTGCCACATTTCAGACAGATTTACTGTAGAAATCTTCAGATATTACAGAAAACTTGTATTCAGTCCACACTAGTGACAGTCTGGTTAATATTCAAAAATTCATAAAAAATCATCCTTCATAGCTGATGTACAACTTTCACCACATCCTTACTCTGGAACACCAACTGTACCTGTGTGTCACATTTCACACAGATTTACTGTAGAAATCTTCAGATTTTAAAGAAAACTTGTATTCAGTCCACACTCGTGACAGTCTAATATTCAAAAATTCATAAAAAATCATCCGTCATAGCTGATGTACAACTTTCACCACATCCTTACTCTGGAACACCCACTGTACCTGTGTGCCACATTTCAGACAGATTTACTGTAGAAATCTTCAGATATTACAGAAAACTTGTATTCAGTCCACACTAGTGACAGTCTGGTTAATATTCAAAAATTCATAAAAAATCATCCGTCATAGCTGATGTACAACTTTCACCACATCCTTACTCTGGAACACCCACTGTACCTGTGTGTCACATTTCAGACAGATTTACTGTAGAAATCTTCAGATA